TACCGCAGCCAATTACCTGCGGTACGTGTCTGTACCGCGCACTTTGAATGGCTGCATCTGTATGTAGGCAAGTGGCTACATCCTGCTGGCCCCACTAACACCTTTTACCAGGAGGTCTCCAATGTGAGTACTGGCCAGCCTCAAACCTGCGTAGCTTCAGTGGGTTGCCAGATGTGAGTTAGAGCAGCAAATAGAGAGGTAGGAGAATGCGCGTGATTTTGGAACAATGCCAATGTTGTAAACACAGGAATGCATAGAAATGTGTGCTAGGAACGCTGGTAATCTTGTGAGCACATGTGAGAAATGTGGCCAGGATGCCAGGGTGACACCCCTACTCTTTTCGAGAAACACCATGGGATTTTTTAAACGACCACAGAGAGTCAGGACCTCGGTTTTACGTCTCATCCAAATGACGGCACCTGTTTACAGTATAGTGTGCCTGTCACTATACTGGGGCATTAGGACCCACATGGACCGCAGGGTGAGCGCCCCCTCCTGGCCCCACTAACACCTCTTACAGCAGCAACCTCAGTTTTCCCCAGGAGGTCTCCCATCCAGGTACTGACCAGGCTCACACCTGCTTAGCTTCAATGGGTTGCCAGTTGTGAGTTGCAGGGTGATATGGCGGCTGGGAGGGAGAGACACGTCCGAAAAAAAGTTCATACCAGCTACAATACAAATACTGTATATTTTTTGTGATAAGAGGGAGCAAAACATCAGTTAGTAATTAGTGTACGATTTATAGTTGAAATCTGAGCCTAAATATAAAGTTAAAATCTCGACAAACAAAGCAATGTAGGAAATGCACACTTTTTCTGCATCAGAAACAGACATGCATACTCTCACACGAATCAAAGTGACGAAGTATGAGGATCCTATGCAGACGAAGGAGAGTGTAGAGGTAGAAACACTGGTCTCCAATCCAAATCGATAGGTGAGTATGTGGTCAAGAGCAAAGGTTAGTTCAAAAAGCCAAATGAGGTCATACAAGAGAGGTTTTCTCACAAATGGGGTGAGGTAGGAGCTTTCTAGGAGAGAAATCAATACCATGCAGCGAGTAGTGAGTTTAGAGGGTTTAAATAGAGCTGAGAGCAGAACAGTACAGCAGGTGGTGATGGTTTAACACGTGCGGCACTTGTTATGATTCCACTGCTGGAACTGGTTAGCTCGTCTGTGGGTCGATCTCTGGTGACTTGCAGTCGTGACACCTAGGGCCAATTTTCCCAGAAGCCAATTAACCTACCATTATGTTTTTGGACTAAGTTAGGAAACCAGAGTACACAGAGGAGACCTGAGCATGAGGAGAACATAGGCACTCCACACTGATAGCCAGGACCCCAGCAAAGCTAACCACTGCACCACCATGCTGCCCTTATTACATTTATATGGTGTAATTGTAAGATTTATGGATTTAAAAACGTTTTGAAATATATTTCAAATATATAGTGTCGTATATGCATTTTAAATATATGGAAAAATACATTTCATGGCCTTCTTTGCAGGGGAGCTAGAGCCTATATAGGCAAGCAACAAGTACAAGGCACGATATACCCTTGACCATGCCGTCCATCATAGAGCGCACACTGGCAGACACAGGCATGCACAGGATTTTCCCCAAAGACAATCAACCTAACAGTATAGTTTCTCATTTCACCTCTGACCCCATGATCACACTGATCTTTCTGTCTGCGTTCTCAAAGTAGGGTTTCTTAACTCCTGTAGCAGAAAGACATAGCAGAACCTAAAATTATTCTCTCTATTCATGTAGGTTTCATTTCTTGCCTCTCCTCACCTCTCTTGACTTCGCACCACTTGATTGGCCACTCTGCCTCTCCCTTGCTCCTGCCTCCTCCTCTCTCCTGGCTTTTGTTATCCCATGCAATATTATCTTTGCTGACTGCCTTATCTTTCTTAAACACAAAGAAGGTTCCACAGCCGAAAGGTTGTGTTCTTTCTTCGCTTTTCAGCATGGAATAAACCTATTACTTGTTCCAGTATGTTACATATATTTGCTTAATATTAACCTCCAATATGTATGAATAACATATTTAAAAATATTTCCTCACATCAATTTAAAATATATGGTTTATTCATATTTGCAAGACAGGCTTTCAGGAGAGAGGAGTGCAGCAGGAGATAATATATCAAAGCACATACATTACCTGTGAGAGGTCTGTAACTTCACTGATGTCATCACTAATCCCTGCCTTTTCCAGCATAGTGTCCATCACCCTCATCAGCTGGACAGCCTCAAGCCTCCCACTGGGCTTCCTGGAAGTCAGTGGAAACTGGTTTAAAACAACATATTAATAGCATAATAATAATAGAACCTTCATCGGATTGCTAGTCTTTAAATGTGATTTAATTATAACAATTTCAATTTGTCAGGATTTTTTTCATTAAATGTAAACTTAGAGAATGAGAGGCAGCTGTGCTGTCACTAGAAATACAGTAAGTGGAAACTGAAATTACTGTCAAATGTCAGCAAAATACTTACAGTGAGGGAAAAACTCTAAGTCTCTTGTCACTGTCTTCCAACAGCACTGTGTATTTACTGCAGATAAATAGAAAACAGTTGTATCTAATAATGTAAAACACATGTATCTAATAATTTATATAATTACAGTTAAACACTGTACTATGTTACACAAATTATGAGATTCCAGACCACCTTAATGACAACAGTAATAGAAAAGAAAATAGATTAATAGCAAACTGTACAGAGAATGCATTCCAGAACAAAACATCTTCCATCATCTTTCAGAGATTCAGAGAGATTACTCACTCCTCATAGCACTCTAGTCCCAGCACTCCTTTGTTCTTCACAATGTGATATTCCTCTGGAATCAAGCTTTCCATCAGTCCGAGTTCCTGCTTTAATTGAATGATTAATGTCAATGAATGTTAAAATCATTTTTGATGTTGGCTACCTTCCAAGTAAAAAGCGCTTCTGCATTAGTGTAGCTTGTTTTCATAACAATTTTTTTTTTTTGCTACACAGTTCAAGCTTTTTGTACCTTCAAATCATATTTAGTTGCTTACATAGATCTGAGACAGTGATCTCTTCACTATGGGACTCTGCATACAGCTTACACACATCTAAAAAAATAGATGATTAGGTCATTCATATGGCTAGATGACATATTACAAGCCATATTGTTGTGTTGGTTATTGGTCAGCAAGGGGCATTCTTTTGTGCCTTTGCTTTGTGGCCTATTAGGTCACTGAGGAGAGTAGCTATAAGTGTAAAGGTTAGGTCCTGTCTCATCCTTGTCTGGCTGTGGAACTCCTTTTAGAGAAATGACTTTTGAATATTTTCTGTTTCCTTCATAAAGAATCATATAATTCATCATAGAATCATATAATAAAAAAGATAATTATACTTTATAATGCTACTACTAATTATAACTGCAGATAAACAGGTCTACTTTAGGCATTCTCTGGGTACATTCAACACATTTCTGGATTAAGGTTGGGACATTTTATGTTTATTTTTGAAAACCATCCCTGAACAGTTGTTCGATGAACTGCAGTCATTCCCACATACTAGTCTGTGAATCAATGTGCTAGAAGACTGTCACAACTGCCTTCTAGCTTAATATGAAGAGACAGCTAGAGAAAAAGACCAATTTTTTCGAATAAATACATTTTTCTAATTTATATTATTGTACAATAGTGCAAACATTGGTTCTGCTTCCATGTATGTATCTGAAATTATAATAATTATACATTAGAAATAACTACATACTACTTCCTGTTTTTGAGAGCCATAAAGTTGCTGACTTCAGTGTGTGAATAATGTTAATCTTTCACTTTAATTAAAACAGTGGCAAAGGTAACTTCTTAAAAATTAAAAATGAAACACAATCTAGAGGGAAAGTAAAGTGAATTTAAAACTAATAACAAGAGGCAGTTTGTTATACAAAGGATTGTGGAAGTATTGAATGAACTAAAGCTAGCCTTTCACGTTGTCAAGCAATGGCTGGCTTAGATCCTTGTATAATTAACTCATAAAAACAAATAAGTAAGACAGGCTAAAAAGGCTACTTTCATTCGCAAACTTTATGTTTGAATGTTTATTCACTCACTTTGGATGCATTTTGGAAATGATCTTGCTTGTCTTGTGCACAGCTCACATCTGAAGGAGAAGGCACAGGTGTTATTGCCCTTTTAGATGCAATTCCATCACACAAAAAGGAGATATCCCTGTAAAGAAAAATATAAGACATACAAAAAAAGCTAATTACTCAAACATTTTCCATTTATGGGTGCATCTGTATTTAGAACATATGATAAATCACCCATCAGAGTTGAGTTTTATGTATCTTAGCAACAATGCCACAATGTGGCTTGGAAATACTGTATATAACTTTAAGTGCAAAAAGGGTGCTTTCAATTACATGTGTAGAACAAGCAATTATACTTAGATCTTAGTCTTATTGAATCCATAGAGTAGCACTTATATTTTATTATAAGTATTATTTTATTATAATACACATCTTTATTTATTCATTAAAAATGTAAACCATGTCTTCTCTTAGTAGTTTCTACCAGGAATTTACCATTTACTAAGAGAGGGTCATTTTCTCTCTCATGTTCCTGAGCCCTGATATCAGTGGCTGTTTTCTGCAACCCTTCTATATTCTACAATGAGACCCTAAGAGTTCCAAATAAAATACCTACTGAGAAATATAAAATTTAAACAATAGTGTGCTATTTTGCAAATGTGAAAAGCACTTTAGTCCTTAGACATTTGGTGTTGTGCCTGTTGGTGCAGGACAATACCACAAACTATTCAGAATCAGAACACAACCAGTACAAATTAACTATTTTCAGAATCCATACCTGCCAGCACCTGTCACAGAGGTGGGTTGGTCAAAAAAATACTTGTATTTATTTCGGCGTTCAGGATAGCGCCACACTGGGTCTGCCCCTCTGAGACCATGGCCCTGGAGCAAAGATTTCAATAGAATTATAACATATCTTAACAGGTACTAAACATTCATATGGAAATATGTATTTTTCACTATTAAATCCTCACTTGCCTAAAAACATTCTTAAAGAGGCCCAACTACTGCCTAGCTGGGAAGCCAGTAGGTTGACACCCACAACTCAGTGTGTAAATGAGTGTTTCCTGTTCTTTACACTGAATGAATTCCCAACAAATTTCCAATTTGGATGCTGTGTCCTTGTTTCACTGCTAAGTATGAAATAGTCTACAGTGATAAATCTGTCTATATCCCATAGGATTTTTTTTGTGCCTGCATCAAGTTTCCTCTCAGTCTTCTCACTTCCGGAAGAAATGTAATTTGTTCAGCCTGTCTGTATATGACAGTCCCCTGAGACCAGGAATATTTTTTGTCGCTCTTTTCTGAACTCTTTATAAGGCTATAATATATTTTCTATGGTATAGACTTACTAGTGCATTGCCGACCTTAAGCATAACCTCTATGGACTTAAGTTTAAGTTCCATACTTTTTGCTGTATTTCCAAATATTATGTTTGCTTTTTTCATTGCTTTTCCACATTGTCTTGATGAGGATATAGACAAATCTACATAAACCCAGATCCCTTTCATGTGTAACTTCAGAAGCACTTACCAAATATGTATAGTGTATGCTCCTGCTACTAATATGGATCAATTTGTACTTTTCAATATTGACATTATTTTGCTACGTCAGCTCAGTCCACAACTGTGTTTAATTTTTATAATCCTGCAGTTTCTGTGTTTGCTACTCCTTTTATTCTAGTATAACCATCAATTTTGATAATTTTGCTAACTATATAAGAATCTATATCATTAATATACTGTACATCAGGAGGAGCAGTGGGCCTAAAATAGATTGCTTCTGATTTTATTCTTATCTCTATTAAACTGTTTTGGACAAAATTTCCTGGAATTTAAGTTCACTGTTTTAGAAAAGAATTTGTCTTTAGTCTTCAAAATTATGTTTTAAGTATAACCATCTTTCTTCTATTGACTCTCTATTACAGTTCACTGACTGTAATATTTGCCTACTCCTTTTCTAAAGTCAATAAAACAAATGTTGAACAACTAATTATCAATTTCTTTAATTCTCAACTTCTGTATTTCCCATTACAATATCTGAGGTATTGTGTGTAAATTGAAATCCCCAGCAATATAATTTTATCTTTTCTACATACTGTCTCATTATACATTGAATGTCTTGTGCCCATACCTGTTAGGCAGTTTATAGTTACACCTACAAATTTAGCCCATTTAGATTATATAGTGCCCGTACCTCCTTGTTTCAGTTCTTTAGTTTGCAGGTTATTTTTGATTAGACTCAACACTGCCACCTATTCTGCTCTTTCAGCAAAATTGTGTACCCTTTGAGTTTATATTCATCCCTATCATCCTCACTTAACCATGTTGCAGTCACTCCTAAAATGTCATAGTTCCCAGTTAGTGCAGCAGCTTCAGGTTTGTGCATTTTTATTCCTTATGCTTCCAGCATTGAGGTATAAGCATTTAATAATGGATGAGTGATTTGTTTTGAATATGTTGTTGGTGTTGTTAAGGATTTTTGTGATCCCACCAGAATAAGCCTTTTTGAGATGCCTGCCCCCCATTTTCCTAACTGTCATAATTCTCAGCACAATACATCATCTTCTTCTCCAATACTTTGGTGCCCTTGCTGTTAAAGTGCAAAATATCTTTCTTGGACACATTCCACCTGTTGTAGAAAGACCCCTCATGCCACATAAATCTAAACCCTTCTTCTCTCCACCTGTGTTTCACACGTGTATGTTAAATCTCCACGTTTCCTCCTGCTTCCCTGGGCTGCATGTGGCACCATTAGAATTCACGAGATGACAACTATAGAACCATTTACGGCCCCTAAGCATACAAGCTAAACCATTAAATTTATCTGAAATCATTTATATACTTTTTCCTATATTATTTGTTTCAACATGGAACATGACAATTGGCTCTTAATGAAAGTAGGAGGATCCTGTGTGCCCTGGTGCCCATCAATTCTCCCAGTCGCCTCCAGGATGCTAGTGCCTGAATTTGTTACGATTAAGGCTTGGAAGGATTTAGAAACAGACATCTCTGGGGATAAGATAATTATTTCAGACTGCCTACCTACAGATGCAGCCATTCAAGGTGCACGGTAAAACCCCCCACAGCGCGAAATTATCTACAGTTCACTGCATTATACCGCAGTATGTGATTGGCTGGCCAAAATGACCAACAGGCGGTACTCGTGGTGCATTGGTTGTTAGTGAAATGATTGCTTCGTCTAATCTCTTTACTGTGAATGTATAAATCCACTTAATATTGAATATTAATATGAAATAACTAATTTTACAACTAAAGGGAAATTTTAGTAGCTGAGCATAAAAAAGAAGAGGAGCATAATGCATCTGTACAGTATATGGCTGGTGTTGGTAGTTTAAATAAAAAATACACACCAGTGTTTTTCTGGTTTCTTCCTAAACATTTTAAGCATCAAAATCTTTCATTCGGTTACAAACGTGGTTATTTTGGAAAATATTTTACGTGCTCCTTCTGACTATATTAAGTTTATACACTTCATAAAAAGTAATAACGTTTTAACCTTTTCTATGACTATTTGCACTCGTTGTCGCAGTAAAAAATCACATAATTTTTAGAATTTGATTAATAGGGAATATAATATGGAATTGCTTATCTAAAGAAATATATTAATTTAAGGATCTAAATAGATAGATACTTTATTGATCCCGTGAGGGAAATTGCAGAATATATATATATATGTATTTATATAGCTGGTAGTATTACTGTAATCCACTTGTTCTTTTTCTTTTATTTTTAATTTCACTCATTCACGCATGATTACTTTCAAAACATTTTTAAGCTGTTCGTCTCAGCTGTTTCCAAGCAGCCTGTTGGTGCAGTGGGTTTGCCAATAGAGGTTTTGTCTAGATGATCCAGTTTCAATACCTGCTTACAACATAAGTTTTTCTTCTAACAAATACTTTTTTTAAAAAGTAAATATTATGTACACTATATTAACATATTTTGGGTTTTGTTTGTATATATTATAACGTATTCATTGTTAAGTTATATTAATAAATTAGTAAATTAGTAAATTAGCAAACGTGAATAATGTCAACTGTTCAACCCATTTAATTCAAAACACTTTATTCAGTGGGGCAATTTAACAGATGCCTCAAGCCTTAAAACAAAATCGTATATATTGTAGAATCGAGAATAACAAAGCAGTATTAAAAATACCACTGAAACTATAATCATGTGTCTACTCATTATTAACAGTATTAATTTAATAAAAATAATTTCAAGCTTCTTGTATCTGTTTCAGTCATTTTTTCTTTGGTTTTCATAAAATGAGCTTATTAAAATTCCTATTTATGAGACACAATGTTTCAGATGTCAATAACTTTGTGCACAAATGACACCGAGCCTGCAACCTAGAGGTTAAAAGATTGTGATTTGTGAAAATTTTCACAGCCTTTATTTAAACAATATCTAGTACCTAGTTTGAATACAGCGGATCCCAGGTGCAAGTGACTTCATAACACGAGAAGGCATAACACAAGGATGTTAAATTTTTATGCATCAAAAATAAAATGCATCATTTTTATGAAGCCTTCTGAAGTCTCTCAAAAACATAAAAATGTAACATAATATTATGTGGCACGATGGCCAACTGATGCTTTTAATTTTAAAGAAAATTAAAAATAAGAAAACAATGTGTCTGCCTAAAACATCGCATGATTTTACAACCCATATACATTTTTTAAACTTTTTAATTAAACATTTTAAACACTTTAATTTTGTAAACGTAACACACACTTCATACAGATACAGTACAATCACTCTCATTCTCCTGTTTTTCCATGGTGTGAAGCAACTTAGCAGGTAGCTGAGAAAATAGCGCACCCACTGAGCTCAGTCAGAGACGAAGACCGTAAGAAGACCAATCTGCAGCTTGCAGCTTGCAGTGTTTATGGCACTGAGCGTTTTTGCCTTTAAAACTTAATAATGGAATGTAAATATTTTTTTTTAACTTGAAATCTTTTAATTATCATTAAACATAGCTTTCTCACCAGTAAGTTTTATAATTGAAACACTAGTTAAACAAAGCAGGAGCTTATTGTACTTTCTAATGACATTACACATGGGAAAGTGATACATCTTAACAGTTTTTAACTTTTTAAAAAAATACATTTTATTAGGAGGCCATGATTGATAAGGGCCACAGCCCTACTCTTTTTTTCGAGAAACACCCTGGGATTTTTAATGACCACAGAGAGTCAGGACCTTGGTTTTACGTCTCATCCGAAGGACGGTGCCTGTTTACAGTATAGTGTCCCCGTCACTATACTGGGGCATTAGGACCCACATGGACCGCAGGGTGAGCACCCCCTGCTGGCCCCACTAATACCTCTTCCAGCAGCAACCTTAGTTTTCCCCAGGACGTCTCCCATCCAGGTACTGACTAGCCTCACACGTGCTTAGCTTTAGTGGGTTGCCATTTGTGAGTTGCAGGGTGATATGGCTGCTGGCAAATAAAGCCAGGCGTCTGTTGCATAAACTATTAGTAATAAATAATTCGTATTAAAATTCGAACTGTGATAAATTGTTGCACTTCCACATCTTGTAAAAGCATTAATTTGCAAGATTGTGTTCTTGACTTAATAATCTGACTTCTTGAATCTGACTATCAAAAAATAAGTCAAATACAAACTTATAAAATAAAAAATCAAGGTAAAATATAATTTAAAATTAAACCAGGATTCACTTTTTTATGTCTCTCCTCACACGCTGCAATTTGGACACAGAATGGTTAAAAATGGGAACAAGTCAGGCAGGCAGAGGGAAGGGGGAGGGGGGAGGCTTCTTCCCACCTCTATGACTAAAATGGCTTGGGCAACATACAGAGCCGAAAATGTTTGGTGCTGTTTTCGCCGCTTTAAAGGTACACTCCTTGTTGAAGAATTTTCAACTTGAACGTTTGCCCACCAGCTAACACACAGAAGCAAATTGAATACAAAATGTACTTGCAAGAATAGCGATTAAAAACAACATACTTGGTATATACTGTTATACTGTACAATGTATTAAAACACTCAACGGTCACTACACTGTGAGTAACGCGGCCCACTAAAACCACTTTCTCACAATTTCACGGGGGCAAGGTCACGTAGCTGATTCACAGCTGGATACACTTTTATCTCGCAAAAATTCAGATATTTGTCAACATATGTACTAAAAATATCCATCTCAGTAATCTCACTGTGTTAGTCTCACTGTACGCCCCAGTGCTCACTCAATGTTTACACTCCCAGTAAAATAAAAAAAATATTTTCTACATTATCAGCTCGCACCAGGGGGGAAGGAGAAGTGACCGCGGTCATTTTTTTCACTGAAAGACAAAGTTGATTAAAACTCATTCAAATGGGTGTGGGTGTGTTAACACAAACTCTGATTAACAGAGCCGCTTGTAAGAGCAAGGTGACTTTCTACTCAATTAAATAAAGCTACAGTACAGACAGATTCTAAATTCTTCAAGCCAAATTAGCTGTTTGTAAAACTCTGCTGCTTTGCAAGCAGTACATGACTTCTAAAAAAAGGTACCTTTTCTCTCATGCAAACTTAACAAAGGTTTATCTTTTATATAATTCCGAAATTTGAACGGTATGCCTCAGGGACTCATTATAGTTTTGTAGTGAATAATCAAAATACTGCCCCCTCTCCCAGCCGGGTCTCACCTCGCGCTGTTCCAAAGCTGTATGGTTTCAAAGTATGTGTAAAAATATATTTTCTTACTCCAGTTATTAATCCAATCTATTTTTACTCATCCGGCTATGTAAAAAATATAGCTAAAAGGATCGCTGCAAAGGTTAAATTCCAAGCTGAAAAGACAAGACTCAACATGTTTTCTCTTCAGTTTACAGGTCGTCCATGGTATTCATTATTAATATTGTAATGAATGACAGGCATACAGATAGTACAAGTTGGTTGCAGCGCGAAGACAGTATAGCCCTCTGTTCCACTGTGCATAACAGGCCTGCTGGCTGCTGGTGCTGAAGGAGGTCTTCTGTAGCTCAGCTACAGGTGACCTGGGTTCGAGCCCATGCAGTGAAGGGCGAACTGGGGCAGGAGCAGTGAGGGTACAAGCCCAAGAATCAGAATTTGTTACAATGTTATTAATAATATATTTCGTATTGCATTTAAATTGGAATGTTTTTACAAATAGAAGAAGAGGTGATACACAACATGTAAATATAACCCTTTTCCCTCCTTTAACTTAAAGAATTGCGTGAAGAAATCCTAAATTACATAATTTTTAACAAATTGACACCTGAAGAAGGCTCCACGGCCGAAACGTTGTGTTCTCTTTCTTCTTTTTTTCAGCATGGAATAAACCTATTACTTGTTCCTTTGCAGCCTACGCATGCTGACGCAGCTACCCACCTGAACTAAATTACATAACGATCACTTATAATAATTAATCCAGATACACACACTAACACCGTAGCGAACAACAAGCTATAATAGTAATAGTAATTCTCTAAATGGGCTTTGAACCACTTGGGTGCAGCGTACTACATGACAGTCCATTGCCTATTACCACTATAAGGACAACAATATATTTTATTTTTAAAAACGAATGTCAAATGTTTCCAAAATGCTCTGTTGTGATATTTTAGCTGCTTAGTTACACAACTCCATATTAATATTACTATCAAGAGGTATTAAATCAGAATAACGTTTATGAAATTCAAGTATTTTAAACATTTAATTAAAAAGTAAAAATCTTACAGCGTACACAAAGATTCTTAGCTGATCACGAGGAAGAAAAATCACCCATTTGTCATGCATAAACATTGTTTTTAACTATCTAAACCAGTTATTTACAGGTTTAAAAGTCATGCAATGTTTGAGTTAGGCAGGAACACTTCATTGCATCTTATTTTGGATTTAAAAATAAAAAAAATTGTTTGCCCATCATGTTTAAGCTGTTCCCTGATTACTGGCAATTGTAAAAAATAATCCTTCCACCCTCCATTGTTTAATTTGAAGATTGCCGTGAAGAAATCCTTAAACCATCAGGTATAATAATGTAATGTTTTTGAGTTCTCATAGGTTTCTGCCCTTGCCACTCCGACACCTCAGGTTGGCCCACCACCATGATGATGATGATGACATCATTGCGCTGGCAACCGGCTTGCACAACCGGCTTACAGGCTTGAACTGCCTGGTAATGTAGTGCTCATTACCACTACAAGGACAATAGAAGTTTTTTTTTTTTAAAAGAAGCAAATGTCAAAATTTTTCCAAAACGTCCACTTGTGATACTTTAGCTGCTTAGTTACACGATTCCATATTAATATAACTATCAAGTGATGTAAAATCACTACAACATTTATCTTTTCACAATAACAGCAAATGGTGTTCTTACAATGTATTCTTAGAAAAGGATAAAATGTTATCACTTTTTATGAAGTACAGAAAATAATCTTATTAATAATTTTAGAACAAGCACGTTTAAACCAGAACCCATGTAAGTAACCAAGTTAAAGACTAAAATATTTATGCATAATTAAAATATTTATGATGAACGTGTAAAGTTGTGTACTTTTGTCCAACTGAGCAATCTTGCTTTTATAAAATATACCGACTTTTTAATGTTTAATGATTAACATACTGTAATACCCAGTTTAAAATTATTAAAAGTCTAAAGAGTATACAACTTAAATTCTTAATTGGAAAAAGATTGTCTCTCAGCAGTGACTGGGATTTGAAACCGGGTGTTTTCTGGTTACAGTTTAAATGCTGTACATGAGACGTTAAACTTTATTAGCCCCACCTGGTGCCTTGCCCACTGTGTTTTAACGCAGCATACCTCACGCAATTGAATGGCTGGATCTGTACTTCCTACAAAAACTACTGCCTCAAAAAAAAACAGGAGAAAAATTGCCCCCTTAGGATGACTAAACAAGTTTCAGGAATAACAACCAATTACTTTCTATGCAAAATTAAGAAACTTCACAAAACCGAACGAACAACAACAAGCTACACTTATTTCACCAAATACTTCTTTTCCTTTTATATGTTTCTAAGGATTCAGGTGTAAAGCCTAACACTATGCAAGCTTCACCAGTCAAGAAACATTTTTCCAGATGTTATTCTGAGGAAATGTGAGACAACCTTTTCCTATTTATGAATAAATAAAATCATGGTCATGGTGAGCAGGTATGGGGAACCTTGAATTCCTTTGGTGTCCTTGTGATCCTAGGAGGTCCCAGAACGTGGGTAGGACTGGAGGGTTTGACTGTAGATGTGAGAGTAAGGAGAATCTCATCTGGGATGAAGTCATTCTTCAGGGATGTGGGTATGGGATTTGTGGGTTCAAGCAGCACCAATTTCTCCTTCAGTTCTGCAAGCTCTGCTCACAAAACACAACAGAGAAATCAATCATAATATACTACAGTTATATGTAATGTACTGAGAATGCATTTATACAAACTAGCAACTTGCAAAATTCATGGATAAATAACAATAACTTCACTTTATCCTCACAGAGTCATAATGAACCAAAGCCACAAAGTGCAAAAAAGGATTACACACCCACATGGGTGGGTCAACTCAGACACTTCACAACAGTAAGGTTATGCTGTAAATATTGCACGGTTTTTGGAGTGTGGAAGAGAACTAGAGCACCTGGAGAAAACCCTCATGGATGCACGGAGAACATGTACAGTAGATTCCACTCAGAAGGCACCATGAGTAAAACTGAACACAGGGCCTAATGGACTTTACCTAGTGGAAATGCGTTCAGTGAAGTACCTGAGTGGAACATTGCAAATTTAATTGCATTTGAGATAGCTTCGTGTCTGACAGTGGAAGCTAAAGTAACAAAAGTTAACATTTGATGTAGCTGTTATATTATAAAAATACAATATATTTTGTTATGCCTACATACAGCATGTGCCCATATTATCTGATTGAGCTCTTGCAAACTTACTGTAAATTCACCCTGAGTAGACCTCACTTGTGGAGAGGACTATGACAAATATGTTTATTTCTGCTGAGTTACATCACTTGAACACACAGTAGGAAACATAGAGTGAAAAGCTAAATATTAAAGTCATATTGGTCTGGCTGTTCAGCCCATCCAGCTTGTTTGTTTGCTAGTAGCTAACTTAAGAATGTAATTCTGCTGCTTCTTTAAATAAGCAACGGTATCAGCTTTGGTACCATGGATGAGTATACTCTCAGTGTTGTCTTTGAAGCCAATGTACATACTAAAGAGACACTGTGATCCGTACAATATCTTTGTCTCAATCAAAAAGGTCTACAGAAAAAGTATTTCTTCTATAAATGAAGGCTGAAAGACTGAAGGTCTGAAGGTATGGGTAACACGTCTTCTGAAAGTTTAAAAAAAGCTGTGGTGCAAAGTAGTTACCTCTGTCGCGCTCTGCTATAGACATAGACTGGCTGGGCTTGATCCTTCGATCCTTTGTCTTTGGCACCGTTGGTGGCGAATGAGTGGATGGTTGCTTTATAGACATTTGTAACAGACTGCTTTCTTGTCAGCCACCTAGATAAACTTGAAAGTGATTTCTTCTAAGGAATAAAAAAATCGTTAAATTACATTTGTATTTCCAAGCCCTGGTCTCAACAAAATACTGTATTTTAATTTTACACGAAATAATAATCCAAACGCCAAGAAAACATATTGCTTTCACTCGTCGCCGTGCAAGTTATGTAGTTACAACAGCATTACGATTTCGATATTAAAAACCTTTATACTCGATTGATAACTTAAAGATATAATCATTTTTAAGTAAGCAGACATTTGACGAAACGTTTCTTCGCTAAAAAGCATCTGTAAAACCATTATGATTTATCTTTTTTACCTAAATTAATTCATTTTGCATTCGCTGTTTTACTCTCTGACTTCCTCGTTTCTATGGACGCCGTGTGGCGGTCCTCGCGTGTCCATAGAAACAAATATAGTAATCTCGCCTAAGGGTGGCCTACAAGGTGCCCGAATATTTTTCCAGCTCTTAAAGCTTCCTCGGGATTCTAAATACTCATTTATTGTCACTGTATGTATTGCAGACACTTGTTAGCAGAAATAGAGTTGCGATACGACCGATTAACTCTCCATCCGAAAAGCAACGAATTCAGACACATTGTAATACAAAATTGAGCATGTGTTGTATTTTCTAGCGTAGTGGTGAAAATGGTGCTATAATTATTTAGATCTACAAAACATGTTTCTTATGCGATTGTCTTGCTTTCTGAATAGAAAACACAATGAGCTGGCAAAACGGGAATTATTTGTTACTATATTTGTAATACGTCTCTGACAAAGCTTTACTTTCAAACAGTTCTTCTCTTTAAATGGTATATTTGGTAGTTTATTTTCGTAGGGCTTTTTGGTTATTTCTCTTTACAGCATATTTCTCGATAATTTGCAAGACACTTGCATCTCAGTATAAAATAGTTTTTTCCATACAATAGACTATCCACCTGAAAAGCAATGTCCCCGAAAAATATGTGCAAATGAAGACACGTTTTCACACAGCACTGAATATGTATTGTATTTTCTAGTGTACTGGTTAAAATAATGCAACTGACTTGTTTAGTTGTACAAAACATGTTTTTCGTGCGATAGTTTTTGCTTTCTAATTAGCAAACATAATTGCCTGCAAAACACTTCATTTTTCTTCAATATTCGGCGAAATTCTGTTACTTTATTTGCAAAGTTTTTCTAAAACAATTGCACGTGCAAACAAGTCTCTACACAAAATGTTGTATTTGGTAGACGTTTATTGTACGACTTCTTATTTATCCGTCTTTACAACGCATTTCTTGGTTTCTGTAGTGCGGCTGGTTCGGTGAAAACGAACGACAGGAATTCAGGCTCTTTTGACAGCGCAAGCGCTTTTATTGTGAAATACACGTAAATCAGCACAGCACCAACAAGAAGGGAGAAAACTCAAAAGAAACAGGGTACAACACAATAGGGTCATCTGGGGCACACATACATAGGTATAGGGTGCTAAGTGGGTACAGGTATAAAAGGGGGTGCAAAACCAGGGAAACTACATAAACTGGGGTGATCTTACAATTGTGTTCACCCTTTCAACAATTGGTCAGTGGCACTGGCCAGTGACTCCCCTAGTCCCCACCCTGGCCACTACTACTCCAGTCCTGTCTTTCGCCACACACACACTAGCCAGGTGCTCTTCTACTGCAATGCCAGGCGAGGATGCCACACGGCACCCACCTGAGACATCGGTGGGACCAGACAAGGTTGCACACTTAATTTTCCAGCCTCTGCGGCAGCCCGCGAATCCGCCTGTTGCGTCGAGATGGAGTCAGTCAATCCGCACCCTCGGTCCCCCCCTGCCCCTGTGAAATCTGGACCTGGCTGCTCCCCGGGCTCCTCCGCACCCTCACATTGAGTGCCCCCTCACACCCCCTGAAGGGAGCCTGTCGTTCTCAGTGCAGGACCACTACCCATCTTCGCTTCCCGAGCCAGACACCCCAGGTCCTTTCCATGCCGGCACCAGCTGCGGGCTGTAGACCCAGACAAGGTCCCCCCCGGTCTGAAGGGGGTCCCCCTGCAGCACAGATCAAAATACCGCTTCTGCCGTACCCCCACCTGAGTCAAATCCGTTCGAGGAAAGCTGTGCATTCGTAGCATATGCTGCTGCAGGTCCCACTCGTAATCCAGCCTTTCTGGCTTCGCCAGCTCTCCTCCTGGCAGCGAACTGTACGCTAGGTCCACCAGGGTATGCAGCTCCCGGCCTAACATGAGTGAGGCTGAGGTGCACCCAGTGGACTCCTGCACAGCAGTCCAGTATGCTGGGCGAGGGGTAAGTGGCAGTACCAGTCTTGCTGGTATCGTGAGACCAGGGTGGCCAGTTGAGGGGAGAGTGTCCGATTGAAACGCTCCATCAACCCGTCGCTCTGGGGATGCAAGTCCAAGTTCAAGTTCAAGTTTATTGTCATCATACTCATATACAGGTATATGGTATAACAAAATGCTATTTAGCTATGTCTTAGGCGATAAGTAGTTCAAAGAAAAAAACAACAACAACAACACAATTGTATAACAAAAGAATGACAGAGACAACAGGCGGTGTGCAAAAACAACACCAGGGAATGTGCAAAAACAACAACAGGCAATGTGCAAAACAACAAAAAGGTAACAGGTAATGTGCAAAAACGACATCAGGTGTGGAAAAACATGCATCAACAGAATGAAATAAAGGGATAGAAATTATGGGGAGTGAGCTTTTTGACATGTAAGGTTGAGGTAGATTTCAATGTGTATTTGAGTTTTTGGTAAGAAAGAAGGCACTGTGAGGTTCAGATCATAGGTGAGAGGTGAGGTGAGAGTGAGAGAGGCTGGGAGTTTAATAGTTTGATAGTGCGGGGGTAAAAACTGTCTCTGAGTCTGCTAGTCCATGCCCGAATGCTCCGGTACCGTTTTCCAGATGGTAGAAGGTCATACAGTCTGTAGCTGGGGTGTGTGGGGTCTTTGATGATGCTTAGAGCTTTCCTCAAGCACCGTCTGTCATAAATGTCCTGTATAGATGGGAGGGCAACCCCAGTAATGGCCTGGGCAGTTTTCACCACCCGCTGTAGGGCTTTGTGGTCAGCAGTACTGCACTTGCCACACCACACTGTGATGCAGCCTATCAGTGTGCTTTCTGTAGTGTATCTGTAAAAATAATAATAATAATAATAATAATAATAAGTATAATAATAATAATAATAATAATAATTGCTTACACTTCTATAGCGCTTTTTCTGGACACTCCACTCAAAGCGCTTTACAGGTAATGGGGTCTCCCCTCCACCACCACCAATGTGCAGCATCCACCATATCTTAGCCTTCTTCAACCGTCTTAGGAAGTACAGGCACTGTTGCGCTTTCTTGATCAGACAGGTGGCATTGAGAGACCATGTGAGGTCCTTGGTGATATGGACGCCAAGGAATTTGAAGTTACTGACCCTTTCCACTTCAGTCCTGTTGATGTGGATAGGGGCATGTCCGTTTTGCAGTTTCCTGAAATCAACGATCAGCTCCTTGGTTTTGCTGACGTTGAGGGTGAGGTTGTTGTCTTCACACCACATTGTAAGGAGATTGACCTCCTCCCTGTAGGCCCTGTAGTGTCATCGGCAAACTTGATGATGGGGTTGGTGTTGTGTTTGGTCTTACAGTCGGGGTGTAAGGCCGGGATGCAGCGGGGTGGTCTGCATTTTCTAAATCCCCAGGTGCTGGCAAACCCCAGTGAACATCTGGGACTGGTCACTGTGGATGTCCTCTGGCACCCTCAGCCTGGCGAATATTCCCTCCATCAGGGCCTCGGCCGGAGGGTGTAAATCTCAGGCTACTTTGCAAAATAATCGATGGCCACCAGGATGTAGTGGTTGCCTGCCTTAGTGTGCAGAAACGGGCCCAGTATGTCCACCCTCACTCATCTTGGGATGACCCTTCCGAGCCACGCAAACTCCACGCGTGCGGCAGAAATGCATCACGTTCCGGTGACAGAGACCCCAAGAGAAGTGGCCCTGGAGTCGCTGCAGAATTTTTGCGGAGCCGAAGTGCCTGGCTGTCCGTGCACCACCTAGAGGACTGACCCACGGAGCAATCGTGGCACCACAAGCTGCCTCCCGACCTCGCCGTTGGAGGGTACCTGCCACCCCCGGCGCAGCACCCCGTCCCCCACCTCCAAGGCCTCCCACAGCGTGCCTTTATGGACTTGGGGTGAGGGGCTAGCTCCCCCCATGTGGGCTGGGTCCCTGCTGCCTTCCAGCAGAGCACTGGCCCGATGTCGGGGTCCACCTCCTGCTGTCACACCAGGTCTGCCAGGTCCACACCGAATGGTCCGCTCAGGAACATGGCTGTACTGCACACTTCCCTCCTGACGCAGGCGGCCTCCACATGCTGCTCCTGCCGGGTGCAGTATTGGCAGTCCGCTGCCTCGCAGGGTCGCCACGAAAGAGCATCTGTGTTTCAGTGTCGAGACCCCGCACGGTGCATGACCCTGAAGTTGTACTCGGTATCTAGCACATAGAGTAGCGACGGATCTGGGAAGGTCAGGACGAAGAAGGTCCAGGGCCCCCACCAGTGCCTCCCGTAGCCCCTGGAAGGCCACCTCACACTCCACGTCCCACACAAAACAGCACCCGTTCTCCGTGAGGCTGTGTAGCGGGGCAGCAAGGCTGGTGAAGGCCCGTACGAACCTCCAGTAGTAAGATGCCAACCCCAAGAAACTACAGAGCTCCGCCACGGTGCGAGGTGTCGGACAGTTGCGCACTGTGGTGACCTTCCCCGGGTCTGTGGCCACCCTTTGTGGTCCACATGCCCCAGGAAAGTAACATCCTGCCTTAGGAGCTCTCATCTCCCTGGGTTGAGCTTCAACCTGGCCCGCCGGATGCAGGCCAACACTAACTGAAGGTTCGTCAGAGCTCCTGTGGTGGGAGGTGAAGTTCCCGTGACACATTGTTGGACTACGAGGTGAAGGACAGGGTGCTGTGACGGGGATGGCGGGTGCCTTCCTGTGGTGAGATCCGGTGGTGCTGCAGCTCCTCCATGAGGCAGTGCTCCGAGTGGTGCATGGCCAGCCGGACGTAGGGCACTTCAGCTCGACAAAAACCCTGCAGTGCCTCTGGGGGCATTACTACTGGGGGCTGTGCCACCGGGATGTGGAGCAGTACTGCCAGGCAGTGTGTATGGTGCAATTGGGTCCTGCCGAGAGCTACCAGGCCTCCTTCCAGCAACATCGGTTGGAGGCTCCCATGGAGCTGGTGGGGGTGGACGTTTTGGGCCCATTTCCACTTACCGAGGCCGGGAACCATTATGTCCTGGTGGCCTGGTGGCCGTGGACTACTTCACCAGGTGGCCCGAGGCCTACGCCTCACCGGACAAAAGCGCACCTACAGTAGCTGATGCCCTGC